CACAAGGGGATGGGCTGGTCTCACCGAGTCACAAGGGGACGGGCTGGTCTCACCGAGTCACAAGGGGACAGGCTGGTCTCACCGAGACACAAGGGGACAGGCTGGTCTCACCGAGTCACAAGGGGACTGGCTGGTCTCACCGAGCCACAGGGGATTGGCTGGTCTCACCAAGTCACAAGGGGATTGGCTGGTCTCAACAATAAATTATGTGGATTCAGCAGCAGAATGAGATTGTCTCCTGCCAGTAAAGAAGTAGCTGCAAGAGAATGCAACTCCAGAGCAGTAGCCACAGAGGAAAACCAGGGCCCTGACATGAGACAGAGTGGGCCTTGGGACTCCTGTCCCACAGACAGAACCAGAACTAAGCTAAGAGCCTTTGCCCAAGTCTTTTGGACAATTTGGAGGGGCTAGGGTGGGAGAGCCAATATTGGCAGGCCTGAGAACTAGAACACTGGCCTAAAGGGACGAGGCTTGAGGTGCCTACAAGGATATTTTGGGAGCAGTCCTGACTATTCTGCTGTTATTTATTGTTATTAGGTGTCGCTGAGTTGAGCACAACTCATAGCAACCCAATGAACAAAAGATCTGAACCCTGTTCTATCCAGTGCCATGTCCTGACACACTAAGCCCATTACAGCAGTCAGTACATCAACCCCCCTGGTCGAGGGCCTTTCCCTACTTCACCAACCCTCCACCCTTCCCAGCATCATGTCCCTCTCCAAGGAATAGCCACACACACACCCCCAGGCATCATGCCCAAAGTATGTGAGGCAAAGCCTCCTCATTCTTGCCTCCAAAGAGTACTCTGGCTGCACCCTCTCCAAGACATAACTGTTAATTCTCTTGACTGTCCATGGGATGTTCAGTGCTCTTCTCCAACACCACAGCTCAAAGGTGTCGATTCTTTTTCTGTCATCCTTATTTAATTATAGCCTTTTGACTTCCCCAATATAGTTCTGTGCTGTCTGTGACCTACTGCATCAGATATGGACCCAGAAAAGCAGTTAAGACTGGCGCTGAGATGAGTAAAAAGAAGTACAGGAGCGTAGGGGATATGTCTGACCTCATGGGAAACGGTTCTGTGTGGTTGATACTGTTGACAGGGACAGTTCCCCATGTGAAGTCAGTAAAGGTCAGGCATGGCCGTCCCCGCGTGGCCCTTGCTCTTTCTACAATTGGGCAGGGCTTCCCCCTGTGTATATGGGGTCACTATGATTGAAGTTAATGACAGTGCCTGGCCACTCCCACCCTGTGTGTCCTTCCGTGGTGGTCAGCGGTTGCTGTGATGCTGGTAGCCAGGCTACAGGTATTTCGGGGTGATGTTATCACACGTGTCTAGAGGCCTCCCTTTTTCATTTTCCATAAAGTTAGTCTGGTTTTTACAAATTCCCTTACTTTCGGAATATTTGACAATGACCTGATTTGGCCATCCTATTTGAGAAGCATCTTTTGCTGGATATAATCAGGCACACCACGGGGAGCTTGCCAGTCCAGTTCCAGAATACTGCCAAGTAAGGCAAGTTAGAGAAATAATGTTTTTAGTTCCCTAGGACATAAAAGAGTCACAGTGACACTACACTGTCATCTACAGAGAATGCAACAGTATTATGAACAAGTCTGAGATATTGGGACTGTCCAAAACATGACCCCAAAGTGTCTAAGAGCCTAGAAGCCCCAACTCAAAGGCAAATAATAATAGTATTATTGCACAGGGTCACTGACATCAGGACTGAGGGAAGACAAGAAAGGAGGGGAGGGATGATGTATACTGCGTTGAAACAGAGGAGGGAGAGAACTGTTTAAAAGGGGTATTTGAATGGGTATTCTTGTCATTACAGAAGTCCAGAGTGAAGGCTGCACAGTGGAGTGGCCTTGGGGGGGGGGAACTGCATAACAATGAGTTTTCCTTTTACTTTTCAAGGAGAAAAGTGAGTTGGGGGGAGGGGTGGGCAAGGAGAAAAGTGCAACAATGAATGATTGGAAACCCTAAGTCTCTGTAAACTTTCATTAAAATAAAATTTTTTTTAAAAATAATAATGGCATTGACCCCTTACCCTCCTTTACAGATGGGATGGGGCCCACTAACTTCAAGCTCTGGGGTTTGACTCCACTAGCCGCTAGACGGCAGACCTAAGAGGCGGCTGGCTTCCATGAACATCGACAGTCTGAGAAACTCTACGGGAAATGAAGTCACTGGGTGGTCAATTCACTTCCCCTAAGTCCCGCAGCGCGTGAGAGATTTGGACCCCCGTGGTCAGGTTCCAGAGGATACGAGCTTAACCCCAAGGCAGCGCAGGGATGCCCCACTCCAGAGAATGACCTCGCTCCAGAAATCAACAGTGGGGCCATGAGGAAACCCTCGTCTAGACTGGCAGACAACTCTCTGGCCAAGGTTGCTGCTGCTGGGTGACAGGTATGGCTGGCTGTACACGGCTTCTGAGAAGGTACACGGAGCCCCACGGTCAGTGGGAGCAGAAAAAAGTGCAGCCCCCAGGACGGCTGGCAGGAGACTTGACTGAGCACAGGCTGGGAGCCGGCTGAGAGGAGGGCCCTGGGGTGGGAACTGGAAAAGGCCAGTGGCCTGTCTGCCTGTTTTGGAAACTGGAAGTGGTCTGAGGTGTTGAAATACCAGCTTAGGGCACAGTGGGGGTGGGGGTGGCACAGTGGGGGCAGAGGCTGATATAGAATGAGGAGAGGGAAACGGACAGAGCTGAGGGAGCGGTCCAGCCAGCAACCCCTTGGCGGGTCCTCGCCAGCCACTGCTGCTGGGTGCTGTGGCGGGAACCTCGACTGCACGGTGACCCCAGGTGACAGGGAAGAGGTGCCCCTAGGGTCTCTCAGGCTGTCCTCTTCATGGGAGCAGACTACCTCGCCTTCCTCCTATA